ATTAGAAAGACACTTGTGAAAAAATAAAAATAACATTAACCTACTGATCACCTAATTTTAAAGGTATATATATATATATATATATATATATATATATATATATATATATATATATATATATATAAATATATGTATATATATATATTACATTATATATATATATATATAAATATATGTATATATATATTACATTATATATATATATATATATATATATATATATATATATATATGGAGAGAGAGAGAGAGAGAGAGAGAGACATTGGCATTATATCGCAATGCAAAATAAAATATTTAAAAAAATCCACATGAAACGCAAGTTGTCAGAGTGAATTTCAAAGGTAAATATTTCAAAGATACTAAAAAGATTTTAAGGAAATAAGAGGAAATTGAGTCCTGAGGCATGTAAGGCGACTATGTGCGCCAAAAAAAAATGGCTTTTTTTATGACAATATGTCAATAATTTTTGCAGTTGGAGGAAAGAAGACTACGATGCACAAGTTGAAGGAATGTATTGAAGAACAATGAATATTAATCTGGTGGAATTTCTATCTCTATTTCTCTCCCTCTCTCGTACCCTCTTTCACCCTCTCTCAATCACTCTTTCTCTTTCACACCCTCTCTCACTTTCTCTCTCTCAATCACTCTTTTCCTCTCTCTATATATATATTTCTCTCTCTTACCCTCTCTTAATCTCTCACTCTTTCTCTCTCTCAATCACTTTCTCTCTCTGACCCTCAATCAATCTCTCTTTCTCTCTATATATATTTCTCTCTCTATCGCCATCTCTCAATCTTTCTTTCTCTCTTCTCTCTCTCCTACTCTCTCTCGTTCTATATATATATATATATATATATCATCCTCTTTCACCCTCTCTCAATATCTCGCTCTCTCTCACGCCCTATCTTAATCTCTCTCTCTTTCTCTCTCAATCACTCTTTTTCTCTCTCTCTCACCCTTATTCAATCTCTCTTTCTCACCCTCACTCAATCTCTCTCTCCCTCTCTCAATCTTTCTTTCTCTCTTCTCGTTTCTCTCTCATATACACACACCAACACATAGACATAATGTCCGAAAAGTAAGGCACAGATAAGCATAGATCGACCGGAATTCTTGTGAACTCTCGTCTTGGTCACGGACACGTGGCCGGTGGAATCAACGGACACGTTACGTGACAAAGACGAGAACCTAGTTAATACAATGATAAAAAATAATAACGTTTATTATAAAAGAGATACAAAATATTGTATATTTATTGAATGATAGGAACACAGTATTGGAAATAACAATAAGTTTGAATAGAAATCATAGAACACTCAAAAACGAAATTGAAAACATTGGCAAAAACAAGAAAAAATTGTATACTGTTTAAATTATTCGGACTATTGTCGCCATATTTGTCACCATATTTATTACAACGTTTCGGCCGTTGTGCGCTCAGGCCTTCTTCAGGTGGTTGGAATGTTGAACTGAACCCTTTATTTCGCTCACTCGGGTAGACTGTTTAGTTCCATGTTTAATGGATATCAGTTATCTCCTGTTAATTCCCTCTCTCAACAGCAAAAGATTGCAATATGAGCACTGGTCAAAATGGCTGCTGAAGACATTAGGTTTCTAATATTTAGAAATTCATAGACATATGTCCTCAAGGACACATGGCACAGTGGATAACGGCGTTAGTTAGTGACAGGACCCAAAGATGTGTGAGTTCAATACCCGGTTAAGGAATGGTTTCTGCCCAAATACAGAACTATAGATTCGCCTTGCATCAGTATGGCTGATACTAACTCCCAGGAGAGAAACCCAATGTGTCTTCTTGATATCGAGTTTTCCACTAACATGAAGCGGGTTGCTTATATTGAATCAATTGTTAAATCTGCTTTTAGGAATGTTAGTACACTGTGGCGGGCCAGAGTTCAGTGGTTCCCAAACATTTTTTTTTCTCTGGTCCGCATCACCAAATTTTATGTGATAAAAAGTACATTTTACCCCCCCCGGGATATTTAAAGGGAGATATCCGCGGATTCGAAATCAGAACGCTATAATAACTCTCTTCCAATTTGTGGATCCTAGTTACTATATTTCTTAATACTTAATATAATATAAAAAAATATCACATTGATAAAATCGGTTAATACTTATTTATAACTATTTCTACTGGGATTCGTGGATGCAATTACAAGTAATCCTTAATAATATTTTAAATTTTGAAATCATATTTATTTTTGGCATATGAATTTTTTTAAAACTGTTTCTAAATCTTTGATTGTCTTTCAATCAATCTTTCTCACCTGATATCTTCTGCTGCACTTATGAATAATAAATAAAATTAATTATTTTAATAATTAATTAATTATTAAAAATAATTAAAAAAAACAGAGAGGTTTAAAGGGAGATAACCTCAGATTCGAAGTCAGAACATTATCATTAATAACTCTCTCTTCCAATTTGTGGATCCTAGTTACTATATTTCTTAATACTTAATATAATATAAAAAATATCACAATGATAAAATCGGTCAATAATTATTTATAACTATTTCTACTGGGACTCATGCATGCACTTAAATCTTGGAAGATGGCGTTATAAAAAACGGATTGAAAAAATGACACACATATTAATGGAACAAAGGTGGGTACATAAGCGACACTTTAATCAGTTAAAACGGAGATTCACTGATTTAGTAAGTCCACGAAAAGAGGTACCGATGGAAATATTGTATGATATGTTTGATGTACCAACGCCATTAGAAATTAGTGAAGCAAGGAGGTACAGTAAAAGAAAAAGAATATCAACAGAACATTTGAATCGAAGCTGAAGAAATATACACTCCAGAGGAAGACATCTCAAAGATGATCCCATTGGCATTATTGAATTAAATAAACCACGTGACCATAGAGGAAACGCATATATGTAGGAAGTAGCTGACGACTAACGATAGTTATTTTTCCTCTATATTATATTACTATACGGATCCTTATTTCTAGTCTATCCTGTATACTATTCGGACCGTTATTCTCTACTCTATTTTCTATACTATTTCACTATACTGATCACTATACGGATTACTGTTCCAGCGAGTAGTATCGAGCAAGTACTATTAGTACGAGTACTATTCAAAGGTGTATGAGACCAGCATTGTTAAACGGCGTACTATAGTTGTATCTGCGATTACAAAGTATCTACTACAACGAGCACTACTAAAGTGACAGTGAGTATCCGTTAGCATCACAAAAGTGGCAGCGAGTGTTCGTTGACATCAGAAAATAAACACACAAACAAACTTACCAGACTTAACCCGAAACATACTAGTAGAAAATACAAATATAAAAACCTCATCCACATGTAAAAAAGATTAAAAATAATGGAAGCCTTAATAAAAAAGGAAAAGCCAACACTCAGTAATATTAACTACGAAAACGGTCACAATGTGTTAACCGTGTTCGGAAATAAAACATCCCTATAACTCTAAAAACATATACACAACCCACACACCCAATTAAAAAAAATCATCCTTGATAATGGCTAAAAGTATATCCGAAAGGGCTCTGAATTATAGAACATTTGGACAGTTTCTACACTCTGTGCCCAGAAAAAAAAAACACTTATTCAAACACAAACAATTAAATAAAAAGCTTAATCGTAGTACCATGTCTCTCGTTTTTAATGAAACATACATAAATGAATGACTGCATCGTAAATACACAATATATATAGACATATATATAATTAAGTAATTCATCGAGTCTGAAAGAAACCTCAACAGAACGGAGAAAGCACTGGACGGCAGATTCGACCTATATTTGGGACTGTCATCAGCAGGGATCATCCACTGCTGAGAATTGAAACACGGACAGTTAGGTTATCACGCAAACGTCATACCAACTGTTCAACGGGCCACGTTAACGAAGACATAGCAAATCAGACTCAATATAGCGCCGCCCGTTCACATATTCCGTGTTGGAACTCAACTGAGTTTCTCTCTAACCATAGGACTTTGCCGCCAGGAGCCACGACTACTATCACCAAGCCGCTCAAACTTGAGCATTAGAAGCCGGTTCAAGCAATGATATACAAATGATAGAAATTATATATATATATATATATATCTTACTTATTATAAAACGCAGATTGTGTGTGTGTGTGTGTGTGTGTGTGTCTGTACGTTTATATATTGGATCGTATTTCCTACATTTTTCAACCGATTTCAACAAAACTTCACAAGACTGCGTAAAATTACCTTGCGGTGGTTCTGACAGCGCCAAAAATTAGAAAACACAATTATTTTTGCACGAAATCAATTTGAAAACACGATTCTGTCGCCAGAATGAAAGGGGACAGCTCATATCGAGTTATACTTATTATAAAACCCAGGTTGTTTGTGTGTGTTCGTTTATATATGGGATTTCATTTTTCAACCGATTTCAACAAAACTTTACTTTTTTTTGGCAGGTAGTGTTTCTTATTGTCTTGCACACTTTTTTCTTTATTTTTACATTCAGAATGCTTTAAAAATGCCATTTACGAGACAATTGTTTATAATAAAATTCTATTCAATCGATAGACTCATAACGATTGAAAACAATGTTTTTGTTTGAGTTTGGGTTTGACCAATTCGTAAAAAAAAAAAAACTAATTAAGACATGCGTGTCCGTCAACCTTAAACAATAATCTTCGTCAATTTTATTTTTCAGTCTTTATGATGGTCGATACTTGATCTATCTCTTACTGTTACATCCCCGGGCAACGCCGGGCTCTACTGCTAGTATATATATAAGAGAGGAAGTTTGTTAAAATTCTTTGTAATTTTTATTTGTGTGATATACGGGGCGGGGGGCAAAGCCTTTTGTGTACAACACTTAACTTAAATTTGATGCGCTTAATTATTGAACCCAGGTGAAGGTTTCAGCATAATTGGATTTGTTCATCACGGCAAAGAATTACTTTACCAATTTTCTATTCGATTCTATTATTCTATTATACGCTGTAAAATTCATGTCTTACGGCCATATCACGTTGAAACACCTGTTCTTGTACGATCAGCAAAGTTAAGCAACGCCGAGACTAATCTGTACCTAGATGGGTGGTCGCTTGGTAATACCAGGTGATCTAATCTGGATAGATTTTTTTTTTTTTTCGGATTAATTTTTTCTGATTTAATTTCTATTTCATTTTACCACAAAAAACAAAACAAAAACAAAACAAAAACAAAACATACCGTTAAAAGCCTACCACCACCTTCATTTTTATACGAAAGTGAACATTGAAATTTTGACTGGATTTAACAATACCAAGAAAATTGTAGTAACAATTAACATTGTTCGGGTGTAAGATTAGAATTTCTATGATTAAAGTCAAGACAAATACAAACATTTGACTAATTTTACAAAGCAATTTTACCGAATATTTTTTTCCATAAAACTATTTTTTTTTACTTTTCATAGTATTTCATTGTTGGAAATTTACTAAGAGCAAATGAAATTTTTTAAATTTTTTTTTTATTATACTACTAATTACTCTAACGCACTTGCTGTACATGACCTGTGTCGCGGAAAATGAACGTTGATGTGCGTCAACAATGAAAACAGTTATAAATTTCTTTTCATTTTGGTATTAAAATTTATTTTCATGACTTTGTATATCTCGCAGTTTTGTATAACTTTTTGTATATAGGGCTCAAGAGCCACTCAAGGTAGAGGCTGGCTGAATGAGGTTGAAGTAAGAGGGGGAAGTAAGTGCATGTTGTGAGGATATGTAGGAAAGATCATACAAAAGGTTAATATTGCAGTGATCAGAGAGCATCCTCGCGGGAGTTTGTTGCCCAAAATAGTCAAAATGCTCTCTGATTGGAAATTGCTTCTTAACAGTGGAACACGTAGGGAATGAGGGTGATTTGATCCTGTGTACATAACATAGCATGTCGTAGATGGAAATGGTGGAACTAAAGAATGTAGCTCACACTAACTGGGAGGTTTTCGTTTAATAATAATAATAATAATAATAATAATAATAATAATAATAATAACGGCAACAAAAATAAAATGCAAAATGTGTTTAAATAAAAAGTAACACATATTGACTGAACTTTAGATTTTTAAAATCATCAAATACAATAGAAGAAATAAAATGCCAACCCCCAAAAACTGAAATTAAAAAGAATAATGCCAAAAGAAAAGATTAGGCATCACTGGGTTTAAAGATCAAATGGAGTACGCGGTAGTAATAAAGATATTTATTAATTATAATTGAGTTTTTTTTTTGTTTATGATTTATCAATATTTGCAGTTAATTTAAAGCCAGAAAATATTTAAACTGCAATAATGTTTTTTTTTTAGATAATAATGATTTTACTGATACAAGTGATACTAATTAACCCACAGATCGGGGAGAAGAGGTGGATTCATATCTTGCCTAAGGGTATTTACGCGTAAGTGAATATAACGGATACTATTGGAATTGGAACTCGACATTCTGGTTTTCAATTCCGAGCCGTTATGCATTTCATCACCCGCACGCCAAAGCTTAGAGTCCCTGGTATTACCAAGCGGTCACCCATCTAGGTACTGGTCAGGCTTAACGTTGCTTAACTCCGCAGATCGTACAAGAACTGGTGTTTCAACATGATATAACGAACACGATTCTTATTTGGAGACGTTAGACATTACACCACCCGCACATCCAAGCTTACATCACCTAACATTACCAAGCAGTCACTCATCTCGGTACTGACTAAGCTTGACGTTGCTTAATTTCCGTGATCGTATGAGAATTGGTATTTTAACGTGATATGGCTGTAAGCCTTATTTATTAAGAATTTTACGTCTAAAATCAAGTAATTTAAAAAGAAGCACTTTTCATTCGATGCAGAATTCGCATTTGTATTCTTACATGTTATTTTTTTGTTTTATTTCTTTCGTCTGAGGCGCTGGTTGGCCAGGAAAAGTGTGGAGTCTTTCATTATTTTTTCGTTCTGACAAACACGTGTGTAGACTCGACCACTTTCTTTGGTATATTGATTCGAATAAATTTCTGCGTAACAGTACTTCCCAACCCTCTATTTGGTGGGTGGATGGAAAGGGAAGTATAGGTTAACTGGTTGAACCGAGAGATGAAGGCAATATTTTTCTGCTTATTGGATGTAAACAACTCGGAAATAGCGGGAAGCAGGCCCGCTGCTGCCTTGTGAAATAATGTTCTACAAATGAATAAAACATTCACAAAGTCGAAGTGCGCCACTGGTATGAAAATAGCTCGATTACAAATGCAGAAATATTGGTTGTCTTTTTTTTGTTCCTTTATCATTTTTTTTTATCTCATTTGCATCGATTCATGTAATGTTTGTGTCATTTTAACACCAGAAGAAAATGCATATTTTACTTTCAAACTTACTACCGGTCGTATGTACAGATGTAGACAGATGTCAGTCGTAAGGAAGCGTTTTATATCTCTTAAGTGTTTTATTCTTTTTAAGATGCCTTTTTTTTTCTGGGACTGGAAAATTCATTAAAACCAAGGGAAATAACTGTAATGTCGTATCTGCGCGTGTTTTAATGACAACACGTGTCTTAATCTCTTGCGTGACATTACATTGTATCTCTGGATTTCAGCAATAATTATCAATGTGTGTCTGCGGCCTCGGACCACTCATCCGAGACAGAGACCGTACTTTCTCGTGTGCGATGTCTTAGACATTGCCCATGTTGCTTCTCGGATCGGTTTACATATATATATATATATATATATATATATATATATAGATATAGATATATATAGATAGATATTTCCCACATTTCAGGTTTATTAGTATAATTTATCAGCAAGCCATAGTTTACCGGCTATTTTGTGTTAGAAAGAATAATGCTTTTTAGCCTTCCAGTAGTACACCGAATACTAATATTAGCATTAATGTAGCTATTGATGCACTAACACGGAATGCGAATATAGAAAGACGAGATACGCGCCCGTAACAAACAAAACATTTAATAAGGCAAACAACTTACATACAGATATTAAAAGGATTCTCAGATGTCCCAAAACAAATAATTGTTCATACTGTCCCAAAGGAACGTTTACAGAACAAGAACAAAGAAATAACATGCCAGCATCATGACCTTTGACTGTCCGTAGCTATGTGAATAGAAATTACTTTTTTCTCCATCTTAGGCTGTGCGCATGTTGACCAGTTTACACGTGTGATGACGCCCTGTTGGTCAGGAACGTAAAGACCGTTTCTAATAAAAAAAAAAAAAAAAAAAAAAAACGGAAGCAAAAAGGTAAAAAAGGACAGAAGAGTTCTCCTTTCTAAAGGGGCTGAACTCCCATGAGCTCAACCCATAGGAAAACAACTGGGGTCTCCCCACAGGCTCATATCGGGCACATTTTTCGGTGGATCTGCACTCAGCAGCCTGCAGGAGGTTATCTGTCATGTCAACCCTACACCAGTTTTCTCTGAGTGCATGGTTTATTGATTGATTCTTTAACTACGGCTTATCCACACTTTGAAGGTTATTTAAAGCCATAAGATATTTTTAGATTCTTAGAATTATTTTTGGAGAAAATAATGGTTTAGTGATGAAAGTATGACTATTTAACCCATAGCTGGGTGAAGATGAGGTGGAGTCAATTCCGAGCCGTTATACATTTCGCCATCCGCACATCCAAGTTTGGATCACCTGATATTACCAAGCAGTCACTCATCTAGGTACTGACCAAGGTCGACGTTGTTTAACTTCGCTGATTGTACGAGCTGTTTCAACATGATATTACGATCACGACTGTAAGTGGAAATCGGTGAATCGAATTCTTGTTCTGAGAGGTTATCCATTTTGTCTCCTGCATATACAAGCTTACAGCATCTAATATTCCCAAGCGGTCACCAATCTAGGTACTGACCAAGGTCGACGTTGTTTAACTTCAGTGATCGTACAAGAACTGATGTTTCAACTTGATCTGGTCGTAAGCCTCCATTTGAGCATGAGCATGATCTGGAATGAAACGTATACTACATAAAACAATTTTAAAATAATATTTCTTAGAAAAGCTTGTTATAATGGCATAAAACACTTCTCAAATGTGAATGATTACAATTTCATATACTTTTTTCTATTAAAAAGGATTACTTTCAGGTTTGTTGGTCAGTTCTGGGACTATTCCTTGTTGCTGGTACCATATAACGCAGTATAACATGTTGCATATTAATTCAAGAGTAGATGTACACTGTCAAGGGACTGTTATTTCTCTTAGGGATGTCATGAATAACACATCGTGTAATCGTGACAAGCCGTTTTTCATTACAAGACAAGCAATTTTTGTATAAAGACTTATAATATTTTTTCGTAGATTTATTTATATTTTTATACTTGAAAAAATTGTTTAAATATAAATTAAAAAAGATATACATTCTATTGAAATGTTGTTTAACTGTTGTAAGTCAGGGAATGTTACAGAATAGAATAATCACACGAAGGTTGGTAATAAACGATAATACTTAGGACAAGAACAACACATATAAGATTTGCCAGCGGTCAGATGTGGCACAAGGACGAATTTGATGTGGAGTATCCGAGCCCGTATATCCCGGATAAAACAGGGTTGGGTAGCTGTTTTCCGTGACTAGACTCCGTCCTTCGATATAGCCTGGTCTGGGGATCTTCTCTTTCCGAAGGCAGAGAGTTTGACCAGCACAGCTGGAGACGAATCTCTGACTGTAGATCAACATACAGTATTTACTACTGTATTTTAGTGAATTGTCCGTAGATACGCTACAACATTAGCATTGTCAAAGACTGTCAGCCAGGTGTGACTTAATACCTCAACACATATAATCATTTTTTTTCTAAATTTAACAATTTTAAATACCCAGTGGCATCACACATGTAACGGTCTTATTTTCTGGCTAACTGGTGCATAATTTCCCGGGTATTGAAATAGTTTTTCAGTCACTGACAAAACTTTCTGAAATAAATCAAATTCAATGCATTACCACTCAACAGCACACAACCGTTCGATGAAATGTATACACAGCTATATCGTCAGAACACACACACACACGCACACGTACGTACACGCACACGTACGTACACGCACGCACACACATGTATACACACGCACACATAGAAGATGTTATTTGCTCTTCAAACAATCATAGAATTTGAATAGCGTGCGAACTGAATGTCTTTGTGAACTGTATATATTGTGAGATCGCTGCCCAACTACATGAATCTGAAATCTACATGTTTGAATAATTGTTTATACTCAAATCCAACAAACATATATATATATATATATATATATATATATATATATATATATATATATGTGTGTGTGTGTGTGTGTGTGTGTGTGTGTGTGTGTGTGTGTGTGTGTATATATATATGTGTGTGTGTGTATATATATATATATATATATATATATATATGTATGTATGATAAAAATGTAGTTTTAAGGTATGCTATATTTATGGATTAAAGTGTTCAATCTAAACGTAAGAGTGTATGTAAATATTAAATGGACACTGACGTCAACACACAGACTATTTATATATGCTGTCCAGCATATATAAATATTTGAGCCAAAAAACAAACACAACGCACATGGATTGACGACTGGGTTTAAGCATAAAACTGACTGTCGGCACTGGGTGTTGATTTCATTGTCAATTATATATATATATATATATATATATATATATATATATATATATCAGGGGCGGAGATGGGACTAGTGCTACTCGTGCCCGGCACGACCAATAACTCGGTCAATGTTATTCAAAATGGATTAAAAATCATCCATTAATTTCAAGCAAACATACTTAGGCTGATCTCAATTAAATTACGTATCTATTCAAGTTTCGATAACTAAGTAGCCAAAAGTTCATAAATATATCTGGGAATAATACAACGATGCTGTTTTGAACGGATGGCCACCGTCAGATCTATTGAACATCCCATAATATCGGCTATAATGTTGAACACGCGCAATCCGTGCCAAGCACAAGAAAAGCTTATAATAACAAGTAATGTTAGAGAAATCTCACTTTTGGCTGTAGCCAATGGTGGCAAAATCAAGTCGAAATACCGTGCTCAGAACAATTAGCACATTGTGACTGCTGATGATTGTCTTGGAAAGAGAGAGAGAGACCGAGAGAGATAGAGTAGTAGTAGTAGTAGTACGAATAGATGTTTGTAAACATAACCACGTTTATTTATATTGTAAATATCAGTGATGAAGTTATTGTTTCATTAATTAATTAATAAAGAACAGGTTTTGAATAAGAGTGAATTTGTTTTTTTTTTATTGAGGAATGTTTTTTTCGTGAATTTTGAATCATAGAAATCTACGAAAATACTATTAATATAAAATAATAATATTAATATAAAATGACATACAAACCGTATTTTTCGTAGATTTCTATGATTCAAAATTCACGAATAAACCATTCCTTAATAAAAAAAAAAACGATTGTGAAGTGCTAATAAAAAAATCAATCATTTAATTATTTTATAATTCCATGAGACAAATGACCTGGAGAGTTGTGGACTTAATTGCTAACCTGGTTAGTTGTCATTGTCATCAATTTCTTTTTTCTAATAAAGATATTTTTCTCGTCATAGTAATGAACATCTTCTCTTTTCTTCTATACTTTTGAAAGGAAAAAAAACTTATCTACTGTATTAACAAGACTACAAATTATATAGTATCTTGATTGTTTACAAAAAAACCACCATGCAAGGTACGTTAGTCAATCTGTGCTATACAATGGAGAATCACGCAATAGCAACTATGATGACTTACTTTGGGTCCACGGACCACGGGTTGGGAACTGAAGTTGACAGAGGGGGGGCACGAGTAGCAAAAATAGGCTAGAGTCGCCACTGATATATATATATATATATATATATATATATATATATATATATATATATATATATATATATATATATATATATATATATAATGGACAACCGTAAATAAATAAAAAAAAAAAGAATATTCATTAATCTTTATCAAAACATATATGTGTGTATGTGTTTGGATGAAGATTAATGAATATTCTTTGATTTTTTATTTATTTATGATATATTTTTTGTTTATGATATACTAGCAGTAGAGCCCAGCGTTGCCCGGGGATGTAACAGTAAGAGATAGATCAAGTATCGACCATCATAAGGACTGAAAAATAAAATTGGCAAAGATTATTGTTTAAGGTTGACGGACACGCATGTCTTAATTAGTTTATTTTTATTTTTATTTTTTTACGAATTGGTCAAACCCAAACTCAAACAAAAACATTGTTTTCAATCGTTAGGAGTCCTCCGATTAAATAGAATTTTATTATAAACAATTGTCTTGTAAATGGAATTTTTAAAGTATTCTGAATGTAAAAATAAAGAAAAAAGTGTGCAAGACAATAAGAAACACTATCTGCCAAAAAAAAAGGAAGTTTTGTTGAAATCGGTTGAAAAATGTAGGAAATCCGATCCCATATATAAACGAACACACACACACACACACACACACACACACACACACACACACACACAACCTGGGTTTTATAATAAGTATAACTCGATAACTCGATATTAATAAGTATAACTCGATATGGGTTGTCCCCCTTTCATTAATGCCTCTTTTCAAATTGATTTCGTGCAAAAAACAATTGTGTTTCTCCAATTTCTGTCAGAACCACCGCAAGGTAATTTTACGTAGCCCTGTGAAGTTTTGTTGAAATCGGTTGCAAAGTATAGGAAATCCGATCCAATATATAAACGTACACACACACACACACACACAGTGTGTTTGTGTGTGTATGTTTGTGTGAAGATTAATGAATATTCTTTAATTTTTTTATTTATGATTCGAACCATATATCTAGATTCTAAGGAGAATTTGAACGTAAATTGTGCAATGACCTCTGTGCAATTTCGTTTAATATAATACATAATAAGAAAGTTTTATTTTTCTGTTTGTAAGGTTGTATTTATTTCCCTCCATGTTTTTTTTGGTAGTCTTTGTGATTCACAAATACAAACACAACCTCTTCAATACAGAATTTCATAATGGTGTACAAAGCCGAAAATTTGATGTTCAAATCCTTCTCTAAGGCCAGAAAAATGGTCCAAACAATAGAAAAATTTAATATAAAAAATTCTTAAACAAAAACATTTGTTGGTCATAAACGAAACTTGTACTAACGAGAAATTGCTGCCTACATACAGCCAATATATCCACAAGACGGATGTTTTTCATGAATGCAAGCAATCTATGATTATCAATATAACAAGAACATAACTCTTATAGAACAAATGGCTAGTTAAGCTAATGTATAGATTGTTTGGACAACGTTTATATTCAATCAAATTATAGATACACTTTTTCTTTTATAAACTTTATAAAGATATTCCTTTTGTTTTGTTTCTTTAAACAAACTTTTATTAGCATACATGCATATAAACTCTCATATTCTTGTTTGCTCGTGTTCACCGGTTGACCACTGTGGGGAAAAGGAATTTTTAACAGTAGCTGCTCCTGCTTATAACGCATCGCTCTTCATTTAAAAATTGAGCGCTTTGGCTGCTGATTTGGCCTTTATATACATCACGTATATAATACGTTAAAAGATTGTCTTCCTTTGCCGTGCGCCGATAGCTTAGGGGTAGAGTCTCTGACTGATGCCAAATCGGTCGATTTTCGATCCCGGCTTGAAGCAATCGGAATGAGTTATGGTACAGCGAAACACGCTTATATATATATATATATATTAATTGATTTTAAATAAATTAATTTATAATATTAATGCTCTGTAAATTTACATTGAGCACTATTTTGTAAAAATAAAAATATCTATAAGAACACTGGATTATATATCTTGCTGTTCTTTCTTTTTATTTATATACATACATACATACATACATACACACACACACACATATATATATATATATATATATATATATATAT